AATATTCCCACTCCTACCGATCCGAGCACAAGGAATAACCCCAAAAGATCCAACCAATACGTTTAAATATCTGCTGCATTTAACAAAGTTTATTTCAATATAGCACAATGTAATGAACACTATTATATCTCAAATTACGTTTACATCCTGTACCTAGTACCTAAAACTAAAATAATGTGACAACCCTAAGCTCCGAATTGCTAATACAATTTCAACAGGAACTCTTAAATTTTTAATTAATTTCACCTGTTGTCGTTGTAATTTTTTTAAATCCTGATGGAGAGACCTTTTAACACTAAAAGGTTTTAGGAACATTGTTCATAATTAGTCTATGGATTTTTTTTTTAACTATACAGAATAGATACTTTCGAGAGCTTCACAGCTTCACAGGTTTTTTAAACGAAAACAAAACGTGGTATTCACGGCCTGGAGCACGACCCCAGCCTTTTTCTAAAAACGATGACTAGTTATTAAGATTTTGTGAGCGTAATCAGATTTAAGCTAGGACCTGTGTTTTTTTTAGGATACCAAATGACAGGAAGAACAAGTCATGCGCCTGGTGTTAAGCGACACGCCTGTCCATAGCAGTTGCAGTGCTATTCCGAGCTCTAAATCGCAAAGATAAGTTTACAAGCACCATGTGCTCGTAATTTCACCAGTACCCTTACCTTTCAAAACCGAAACTCAGTAATGCTCACATTACTGCTTGGCGGCAGAAATAGTTAAGATGGCAGTACTTCCCTGGACCAACTCTTTTCACAAGGAGCTCTACTGCTACTTAATTCTATGTTTAAAAAAATAGATTCCAGCGTGGGTAGTAAGAGGTTTACTGCGGCGCATCGACTAAATCTAGGTTTTTAAGACTAGAACTGACAAAACATCGAGTATATAACCAGAAATAGAGACGAAATAAGGGCATATATATTCCTGGTAACTCATTAGCGATACAGCTCTTATAAATATCAACTCTCGTTTGCACTGAAATATAGACAAGCCAACAACTGACCTGTGTGTACGTCTCTGTGTATTCCAAAAGTATTCTGTATTTATTGTAATAAAGATAATATATCTAACAATGCCGTGCTGTTCTATTCGGTAGTGTGGGAAAAACAGTAAAACATCTAATTGCAAAACAAATGGAAACACATTTCCTCGGTACTTAATTAACTATGTAATTTTTCAATTTTCGTCCATTATAGCATAGCTCATGTTAAACTGGTCGATTTGCAGTGAAACAATTGACAACACCCATCAATTGTTTTAAATCATTTATGCGTCTTGCTTCCATCTAATGCAACTCCCATTACGTCATATCATTCTTATTCATTGGGCGCGCGTTACTAGTGTTGCACTGAAAAAAATCATATTATGCATCGATATTTGCAAGTTTTTTATTTGCAATTATTACTGTATAATGATTTATTTAAACAATCGGTAAAGGAAATAAAAATCTACTTCTAACGTCATCATAGTTAAGTACTGAGCCATGAGTATAATGTATCGATTTTATAAGAAAAACACGCCTGCCCCTGTGCTCTTACAAAGTAATCTAAAAATTTATTTAATTTTTATTTATATATTTTTTTGTTTGCTGTCAGTACAAAATTGTGTTTCGACATTTTTTGATACCCAATGCCATGCTCACTCGGAATGACTGTGGATTCTAACAATACTACACAATTCGAAATCGGTAAAAAAACAGGTAATGGTCATTTATAATGCCATAATACCGAAATCGCTAGTATATTCTATATACCTACTATCGATTTCGGTAATATATTTGCTTGCCCATCTCTAAAGTATATTTCGAATTCGGGCTGGCCTATCGGAACCCAGTTGTCATTTGTCATAATGGTTTTCAAACAAATTAAAAGACTTTTCGTCTCTATGACAACTTTTAATACTTTCATATTCTCGATCCTGTTACGCTGGGTTCTTTCAAATTCGACGCCTGTAGAAGCGCTGCCAGCGCAGCGGTTTAGTATAATTCTATTTATCTACATGGCTTTAAAATAGCAGTAAAGCTCTGTGTGAAAGAATTCGTCCAGGCTATCTTACCTACATCTGCCGTCAAGCAGTAATGCCACGACGAAAAATGCCTACCGCTGAGTGTACCGACGTCGGCACAAGCGTTTATACAAGGCTTTCATTTATGAGAATTTGAGCGGTCGAGTTGTGGCAAGCTTCGCTAGAAGAAACGAGAACGAAGTGAAAGTAGAATGTACTTCGTACATCCTATTCTTTACGATAAAATGACACGTAGTATGTTTGTAACTTTGTATCGTTTTAAAATTGTATTAAGCGTATTCAGAAGATTCCAATCCCATGTTGCTGGTTTTTTTCTATTTCAGGTTTATACAAACAAAATTTTGCTGTTCCATTTCCCTATATACGTGCACTCCCTCTGATATTCGCGGGTAAACTGAACGTAACCAAGGAGTTTCTAGAATCTCGACACGCGTGAATTTTAAACTCGCGCGATACTCGTTGACGCCATGTAATTTGAAGGCGTAATATTAAGTATGTGGACACTAATCCAAATTCTTTTCTTAGCGAAATTAATGTCTATTCATGGCGACGTTACAAATGTACATAATCTATGAATACCTACTTGTGATCGGCGACAATGTTGCGGCAAGCTAAAATGTTGGGAATAGGATAACTATACTTACTAAAATGAAACAAACTAATGTTCAAGATAATAATTTACTCTTATAATATCAAAAGATACATTAAAACTAATAACACAGCAATACAACAGTTAAATACAAAAAGAAAATCCAATAATTTCATAATAAGTAGTAGGCATATACATATACCACATTCCAATAATTTTTTAAAATTATTTATATCTATTTTTTTCACAAATCTAATTGTTAATTTGTCTATGTATTTTAGAGCTTATAATTGTAACATTTATATCCTAGTTCTACATAAATATAATGAAACTAGGAATAGTGACTTGTAATCTCAAATAGATAATAATACATTTTCAACTCTACGTTTAAATTCTGACATGGTTGTTAGTAACAATAATTGTAAAGTACATCATAATATATCTATTCGAGAACGTATGATATAATTTTTACGTGTCTATATATTAAAAAAAAACTCTACAAAATTGTAACAAAATAGGCGCAAAGAATGTCATTTTTGGCGCAAATTTTTGGCGCCTTTTTACGCGTTTGTCTATGGTCCGGTGTCAAAGTAACAACATAACAGCGATTCTCGCTCCCAAAAAAAAGTATACTAACTGATAACCTAAAACGTGACATGACCCCTTTAATGAGACCCTTCATAATCATCTTTAAAAATATCTATTCTTGCAATCTCGCAGTTTAAGATATAGTGGCCAATAGCTATTATACCAAGACCCTTGATTTATTCAAAAAATCTACTTTGCTTGCAGGTTTTTAAGGGTCAGGTGATAGTGGTGATAAAACCACACCAAAAGACCCCCAAAAAGTTAACCACGTCAGGTATTTAACGGTGCAGGTCATCAAACACGAGGGTATAATTAAAGTGGTCATTGTAGTCAGTTTAGTAAGCATGGTTAGCAACGAAAAGACCGGCTTCAGCGCCCACACCTGATACGGATCCGGCGACGTACTTGCCCGTCGATGCCTGACCGTTAGCCTGAAAAGATGAAAATAAATTGGTTAATAAATCGTTGGTATATTAAGCATCATTAACCAGTACCATGCTGGTCCAATTCAAACTTATTGTCTAAGAGTAACTCTCTTAACCAACAAAAAACATTCATCATTTACGATATTTATTTGGAATATCATGGGTTTCTGTCATCCAAGTACGTAAAAGCTGTATAATAATAAATCTTTAATATAAAACATAATTTCATTAAGAAAGAACATGTCCATAATATTAACCTTAGAACTAAGTCACTTAGTTGTAACCACGATTTCGTTTAACAAAGGTAAAACGGTATACGTTTTTACAATAAGATTCTGGAGCAAATTACATTAAAATTGTCATTTCCTAAGTTTAAAGCTTGCATTAAAAGTGTTTTAATTGAAAAGTCCTATTACAAAATTGAAGACTACGTGTTGGATTAAGATGTATGGAAAGACGACATGGGCCTAGATTTCACACAATTGATTCAAAGTGTATTATTTAAGTTTTTTTGCCTAGCATACGTTACCATAGCATTTAAATTTACTTGAAAAAGAGCAATTTCTAAAACTTCTTGGTCGTTCTTCTCAGGGAAGTCAACGCAGTGAACGAGCAGTGACGTTTTCAAATGTTATTTATTTTACCTATGGAACAACTGATTCTTTGACTTTGTATAAAGATTATGCTTCACTATAGTTTTAAGCCTCGCCTCGTAAATGGCAAATTTTAAATATCAACCGGAATCTTATTATAGAAGCGCATTACCCCTTAAATGAATTAATAGTTTATTTTTATTCCCCGTTTTAATGTTAAAATATAACCCACATCCTCTCCAATTCTTGTAACTCTTTCAACTAATATTGTAGATACTATACGATACTTAAGTCGAATTTTGAACATGTTTCGAGTCACCGCCGCGGACTCTCACGATTAAGGACCACGAATTGGTTCGAAACATGTCGAACTACAATTCGACTTAAATACGTGAGTTATCCGTTATTTTAGTTAATATGCCTGAGACTTTAAAGGATTGGAGAGGATTTGGGTCTAATGAAGCAATAAACATTTTTGACGTAACTCCACTTATGCTATTCTTCCATGAGGGGTGGGATTAGAGCAAGTGAGTAAACTGCTGAACCGTGTCAAACCAAAACACACTCACAAACAAGTCCCAAGTACAGTATTTTGTAATTTTATCACAACGAGAATTTTTTGACTGTTATAAAGAGAAAACATACACATTACTTTTTTAATAGAAATAGCTTATTTTTCAAAGTATAATATTAATAATATTTAATGTGCAAACCAAGATGTGTCTTTTAAGTCATTAACCTCAAAAGTTACAGAAAACCGGAAAATCGTTTTTGAATCTTTTTTTTATGTAACAGTGTATTGGTTTGACAGGGTAGTGCTATTGGCGGGAAACTAAGAACCTCCATCAAAGGAAACAAGTGTGCTCCCAATTAAATTCACTGCAAACGACGAAAATGTTTAGTATTCTATGGCAAGATGGCAGATGTCTAAAAGTAGACCAGTTTAGAACTTAAAATTGAGAGGTTAATTACTTTTTAAATCTTAGCTGGTTTCGTCTGGTACAAGATATTAGTAGTTGGCGATGAAAGACAAACGAGAACGCACTCTGCACCTACAGATATCCAGCCGCGTAATTGCGATACTAATTTCTGTATCGATCTGTCCGATGTGTTTTAGATTTGGCATTCATGTAAATAACAAGTAACTCCATCTAGTGACAAATTTTAAAACCTCATGCTCTTGCTTTTGGGCGCACAGAAATAACTCTGTGATGTTTTAACTTGATAAAGAGTTCAGAGGTCAACGTCAATATAGGGGCGTGTCTAGAAGTTACAAGTCTGAATTCTACGATTATTAAGAGTATTATTATTCATATAAGGCAATATGATTACCTACAACTTCTATAACAGAACACAATAACTACTTCCAGATGGTTTGCATTCAGGACGAATTCGTGATATCAGTAGTAAATGATCTCAATTTGACGGAAGTTCAGGACATTTCCACGCAAGAAGTCCTGCTAATTAAGGACTAATTTATCAGAAGAGGGTGGGGCCGTGTCGTACGTGTCATCCACGTGACGAGTAAAGATTATCGTACATAAAGTACCGCTTCCAATACTTTGAGGCAATGAGGAGTTGAGACGTTATATGGTCGATCACGTTGAGGGTTAACGCTTATTATATCGTGACGCCCTCGATAACGCCCCGACTTTAATGAAAACATTAAAAGGTGAGCTTTATTATCAAAGACAAATCTAAACGACGTACTGACGGGCGAGCTACCTCGTCCCTCATAAATTACGTCAAGTACGAAAAAACTCACTTTTAAATACTTCATTTTGAACGGAGGTGTACCCTTATGAGGTCAACACAAGGCGGGCTTTGATTGCTGTTTATCGGTTTCCAAATGTATTCAGAGCGCGTAAAAATGAAACACAAAACTCATGCATATACGATAGTTCGGTATGTCTCTTTTTTCGGTAAACGGTACTTTGTTTACACACACGTGCGACTTCAAGCAGCGATGCAAACGCGATACAAATGCGATGCAAACGCGATACACGTTTTAAGGTTATGTATTAATTACTAATTTATTTGTTTAGTGTATTTATTAATTTCACGCTCACGTTTGCATCGATGCAATCGTCTATAAATCGCAAGTGTAGCGATGTAATCGAGTGCAACCACTCTAAGTCTAACACGCTCACTCACTCATTTCACTCGTCATTCTAAGTGTCGTATTCTAGAACTCTACTCAATGCTCAAGTCAGGATTGCACTGGAAATACGACCCTAATGGCAGGGACTTGAGTATGATTTCGAGTGCTTTAAACCTTACTCAATCCTGACTTGAGCATTGAGTCGAGTTCTAGAATACGACCCTAAGTCCGTCTTTAATAAGAATATGAATACATAATGCAACCAGAGATTGACCCACCCCGATGAGAGATTGAATTTTTTTGCTGTAATATATTTTACGGACGACAGTGAATCACACTGTGCGAAGCATATTGCGTTTCAGTCTCTATGGTATTTAGTTCCATCTTCATTCTTGAAAGATGAAGAAATTTTGCGACTTATATTTGTGCACTGTATTACCTAGTCAAATCGAGAACAATCCACTCCGATGAGAATTTTTATCTGATCTTTAAATACATACGATCTACTACTACAAACTAAAATCTACTTCTGTGTTACAGACATATACATATAATGGGTAAGTACTCGTAAATAACTCAAACACGAAAAAATATATTTAGTTTATTATAAAAACAATATCAGCACAACAAAAAGCCATCATTGTTAGTAGCAAATAGGAGAAATTAATACATAGAGACGATAGCACTTAAGCGTATAGTGACACGGTTCTGAATTAACTATGTAGAATCTTTGCAATCACGAGTTTTTATTCTTGAAGGATTTAAAATGTTTAAAAAAATTATACTCATCCAAAGTTGTTTTACAACATCAAAAAGAAAACAAATTTAAGTTTTTGTTATAAAGGCGATTCACGAAGCACAGCATTTATTGCCAAATTTCTAATTTCAGTGGGCATTTTTATAAAGGTAATAATATTACGCAAGAAGTGCTATCGTTAGTAGACTAATGACAATCTAAGCATGCAATACAACTACGACACAAACTAAAACTATAATAAGTTCTATTGTTTTATGCAATTCAGTCCAATATTTGTCCTGATTATTTTAATTCATGCATCGGTCAGTGAAATTAGGAATTTTGTGACCAGTTGTCATCAGTTCAAATATTGAATCATTAAGTTGGTACGTACAGTCATCTACAAAAATGCGTATATAAAAAAAATATAATTTTACGGGAAACACACATCGAAATAATTCATAACGATTCAACAAATGATTGCGGAGATACTACCTACTTCTGTACCTAATTTTGGTGACAATTTTCATTATGTTCGTATTCGAGTTAATTATTGTGAAATATTCAATAATATTTCAGGTTACCATACTCTGATATTAAATCATACTTCATAATAATATTCTTCAATATTTAAAATAACAGAAATTGCCACCGAAATTAGGTAGAGAAAGCTAGCTGGAAAATTACCCCTTTTTGCTCGACGACGAAATCTGTTATTGTCGAGTCACCCGTGGTAGCTCATTAAAGACCACGGACTGCCGAGCAAAAATTGGACTCAAATAGTCATCCGGTACCTAGTTTAGTTAATATGTCCAAGTTTCACCATTGCTTTCTATTAAGTGCATAAATAATAATGTAGATGACTGTAGCACTACCGAATGGACAACACATGCGTAAAAGGCTGTAGGGTTAGCACGATAGGGTGCAACTTGCGCGACAGCGATGTAGAAGTATATCGCGTTTTATATCGCTATTGCGCAAATCGCGCAATATCATGGTAGCCCTACAGGTACACACCGTTATTTTTCGCTCTTAGGAAACGGTTTTTGTTATGTATACTACTAACAACTAGACTAATAGTGCTGTAAGTACAATACAATTCAATTATATCATTCAATTGGAAGTTTTTTTCACTTATACACAATTTTATTTCAATAACCAACATAGATTTTAAAGAATTATATATTTAATTATAGGTACCAATCATTGGTTGCTCACATACGGTTATTTCTAAAATACTAACAACCTCTCAGGACTATATTATTACTAATATAAAATAATTTAGTAGCTGTAGAGTTCCTCCTTGTGAAAGAGTTCGTCCAGGGTAGTACTGCAACAGTACTTATGACTGATGTTATAAAAAAAATATAATAAACAACAACTTTTGTTACATGACTTTTAATAATTAATCAGGTTTTAGTGCGGTAAAAAAATAAAATTATTTAAATAGACGTACGTAAATACCAGTCCAATTCATAACGCAGGAGCGCAGGTCGTATGTGAAGGACACTTGAACGTTTGAACTCACTATCAAAATTCAAATAAAGATCTAAAAAGTAAGTACAACAATAAAGTTTATTTTTGGTGAATTTATTATGTCGTCTAACACAAGTTGTTGTTTATGACGTAAGTAATATAGCCCTGCGAGCTTGCTATTTTACAAATAACACAGCGTAACGTAGAGGGTTACTTTTTTGTAAATAATTATAAATAAAATGTAATTTTGTAAAATAAACTTTCGAATACATTGCAACTATTTAGTTTAGCGATGCGCGACTTTGAATGTTACTAATACTAATCATTCGAATGGGCAAATCATTCGCCCAAGTTGAAACCAAGGACAATTATTCGACTATGCCCCTGTCATTCGGTCGGGTGCACGATCATTATATCGGAACACCTCATTCATCATGTCCATACCGAAATATCCCTGTCCCCGTCACATTATTTACCATATGCAGAAAGGGCTAGGTGATCACGAGCAGAAATGCTCTATGGAATCTATGGATTAGTACTACTAATTAGTCATGAATAATCAGTCGAATACGAAAATTAGTAGATTACTAATTTGACATTCGAATGTCAGAATTAGCGATTATCAACGAGTTGAATATCGAAGTCGTTCACAATCGCACATCGCTAATTTAGTTGCCCAGTCTTTTTTATTCGTTAATTTTGTTCAAATGAAGCTCGTTAACTTTAAACTCGTAATCAAAACACTTTTTGGAATGTCAAAAGTCTTAGTCTCTTTTTCTTTGATTATTTACGCTTTATGTTCCTTTACGACGTAAATTACAATGTTTTACCAATACGAATTATTTATATAACAACATAGAACATTGTAAATCGAATTTTGTATGCAATATTTCCGTCAAATTTGTAAGGTTGAGATTTATAAAATGAGCTTCGACTGCGATTTATCAATGATGGCGGTATAAGCAAGTTTACTTAAGAAAAAAGAAGGAGGTTCAGTATTCGACTGTATGTTTTTTTATATGTATGTTACGCGATAACTAGTGAACAGATTTTGATGATTCTTTTTTGTTCGAAGGAGGACCTCTGAAGTGGTTCCATTTAAATTTGAAGAAAATATATCGATTGTGAACTGGCAACCGATACCATCTCAATTTTGACAACTTTACACGATAAAGAAAAACATTGTTAGCGTCATTTATATAGCATCTGGTTTATTAAATAAAAGTAAGTAGTGTATGTGTAATAAAATATTTAAAAACGACGTATTTTTGTTTAATAAATCAAATGCACACAAAAAAAAACAAAAAAAAAAGACGCAAACAATTTTTTTCTTCACCTGTAAAGTTGTCAAAATTGAGATAGTACTGATTGCCAGTTCACAGACGATATCACATCTAAGAATGACTTTTGAGGACGGTTCTTTTTAAGTACTCTGTACTGATTCGTATTTACAATAAGAACTTTTTAAATTTTTTATTTAATGTCACGATATACATTTTATAGTTTGTTATAATTATGAAAAGATCTATATGATCTATACGATAGGATTCGAACCAGCGTCTTCTAGGGAACCGTTCCAAACGCTATGCCAAGTAAGCCACGGAACGAACCAGCGGACCCTCGGATTTTTTTTATGTGCTTGTTTTTCTGTTTTTTAGTTTTTAACAACTTTTGCCGTAGCGCCATCTGTGAAAAATCTATACATTTACAGCTACCAGCAGCTAGCCAGAGATGTCGCTTTAATAACTGTAATTTTCAAGTTTTTACAGGATGCCATTTTTAACTTTGCCAAGTTTAAGCAAGAAATTACTAAGTAAACTCATAATATAATTTAATTTGTGGTATATCTGTACCAATAAGTAAAACATATGGTTTTGCTTATTCGCTGAAAAACAGAGCCACGACACTGTTTAAATAAAACCGGTTGTGCCTGAGCTGGTCCCGTTTCGTACCAGTCGCGACACGCATGACGGTAAATTACTGCTTATTCATGTAAATTGTTTTGTTAAAACTTCTTTTTAATTTATTTTTTCTATTTTTCTCTTGTGTCTTTTTTGTTAATATGCGTATCTGTGGTTGTACTATAAACAGTTTTCTTTCTTTCTTTCTGGTGTACCTGTATAGCAAGAAGTACTAAATACCCGACTACGCTGTATTGTAGTCCTCTCGAGTTATTGGTTCATGCTTACTACGGCAAAGTTCCTTTCATAAATACGAAAAACTTGCTTAGCTCGCCATCTTTGTTTAGTCAAAGTTTAAAATTAAACTGTTTGAGACACCTAACGAAAAATCTCCATACCGACGCGGATTGATAGTAACTTGATAGTTTAAACAATATTAAGCGGGATGTTAAGACAAAGACAACATAAGTAGCGGCCTTTGAATTCGCGTAGACTAAGAAAGATTTTAGTACGCATGAGACTTGACAAAGTTAGATTTTGAAGATGCTATGGAGGGAATTGATCCGGCCACGTACTTCCCTTGGCAGGCTAGACCGTTAGCCTGTTCATGTGAATAGTTAAATTTAGAATCGATCGATTTTGTTTATGTTCGATTACGTAGTTTAATTTTCGATATCAATAATAATTAAAAATGGACAACGATTATAATTTGAATCCACAATCGATCGATTTTGTTGTTTTGATTTTGAATACGAGACAATTTCATCGATTTAATTATACAATCGATGGATTGTGATTTCAGTCGTTTGATGAAGTATGCGTTTATGTAAGGTTACATTGACAATTAATTAATATTAGCAAACAGTTATGACAGAAAATAAAACATTTAGTGCAGTCGATGCGGCGCAGTGCAAGACAGCGGCGATGCAAAGTGGGATGAGCAGTGAAAAAAAAAAACATATTAGTCAAGTAACTTTATGCTACGTAGTAACTACATGAACCTTAATGTTTATTATACTAAAATCAAACTACAGAATGTTGAGTGCATTGGACTAAAACCTCGCAAATAATCAAGTTTCATTTTTAATCATTAGCTACTCTCGCGCAATGAAGATCATGATATCATCACATCAATCTATTCGTCCCACTGCTGAGAGATGCCCATCTCTAAGGAGAGAAGATTAAACCTTGATCCACCATGGCCATTTCACACCTTTTGATCAAGATATTTTACTTCGCCTTTAGCTAGATGAGCTTAGAAATTTGACAAAGGCGTATCCATAGGAGTTGTGACCGTAGACCTCTTCCTTGAGAAGTAAAAATAAGTTCTTCCACAGGGCTGCTAATTCTCTTCAATCATCAAGATCGTAATAAAAAATGGTAGTTTTTTTTAAACATTAAATAGTCAAATACTTACGTACCTCGTGTCTCAATCACCCAGAGATTTTTCTCTTGCTATCCTATGCATATACTGACCATGCCAAACTTAAGCAGGACGTAGGACCTAGAGTCTGGGTTGGTTATCATAATTACTATATCATCAAAATGACCTGATCAGCATAAGTACTAGATCGCAAACCGACCACCTCTGCAGAAAGACTAACTTAGAATGACTTGGTAGCAAAACGATTAGATAGCGAAATTACCATATCGTTAAATGGATTAAACGGTAAAACGACAAGGTTACAAAATAACTAGATTTTGTTATTGTTTTTCAATGTACAGTTTGGTTTTTTTAGTTTTAGTATCATTACAAAAAAAAATACAAAATTTTTAAAATTTGCATTTTTATTTGTTTAGGCTACCACTGACGACCTTACCAACTAAAAATTATTTGTACAACAAAATTACAATCCTCTTATTCATAACCCCTACAATGTGTTTTTTTAACAGGAATCACATGTGGAATATTCTTTTTTATTAATTTATATTAATTTAGTCGTTTATATTAATTCGTTTATATTAATTTAGTCTTATTTCTACATTCACTAAAAAAGAAGCACAGTTCCAGCGTTTAAAAATAAATAGAGATGCTTCTATTTTAGTTTGTTCCACTTTGAATTTTATTTTCATTAGTATTTCCTGAACAACAAATTTGTAACTAAACTGTACCTTGTCGTTTTACCACGTGGTCACTAACGAAATGGTAATTTCGATCATCTAGTTTTGCTGCCAAGTTATTGTAAGTTGTAGCCTTTCTGCAGAGGTGGTCGTTATGCGATCTAGTCTGCTGCTAGCTGATCAGGTAATTTTGAAGATATAGTCATTACTGATACCGACCCGTTATGCTTTGCAGAATAACTGGTCTTATACTGCTTTGTTTTGCTGTAGTTTCACCTTTACCAGCTGGGTAGGGGAGTCACCACACTTATCGACACGGATCAGCATTAAGCCGGTCAGAAAAATCCTTATGTGCATTTTGAGGGAAAATGACGTTATGCGTTTCGCGTTGGCGATCCGAACGGAAGTGAAACCCGCAACGTCTTTTTCACTCTTATTGAATGGACATAAACGTTTTTCTGACTGCTTAACGCGAATCCGTGTCGATAAGTGTGGTGACTCCCTTAGGTATCCGTAATTGTTTGACCTAAGTAGTACTGACCTTGGCACGCTTGATGAGCTCCTGTTGTCCAGCAAGCACGTTCTCGGGTTTGCCAGCCCACGCGCGAAGTACAGACGCCTGTAAGGCGCGTCCGTAGCTGAAAGTGAGCACCCACGGCCGCTTCAGATCGACCGTGTTGATAGCGTTCAGGTTCACGGAAGCTTCTTCTTCTGACTGACCACCGGAGAGGAATGTGACTCCTTGAAATTGGAAAAGAAAACGCAGTTGAGATAACCACTATTTCAACACAGGAAAGTGCAATTTTGAATACCAGCCAGTATAGTTGAAATATTCACTGGTGGTCACGGGCTGAAGATTGCCAGGAACGCACTCAAGCGACGATGATCGGAAGTTCATTTCACATAGCATGATTCAATATTCAATATTCCGATGACGTTTGAGATTTGAAGTTTCTAGAGATGTGGAGATTTGAAATCGAATGAAAACATTCGATTTAAATATCTTAAAAATAAAACGGATTCAATTATTATGTTATTAAGCACTCGCGAGATATAATGCAGCAGATTCGATTTATCGGTTTTTTGGTGTGGCTGAAATATTCCGTTTGACGCAACAACTAATTGGGGTAATTTATTTTTGTCTTTAATCTTTACAATTTAATTTTCTTTTACTTAATATACTGTAATTTTTATTTAAAATTGCAACTGCAACCATTGTTGTTTGTTTTTGGTACATAATGATAAATTTACTATCTATTTTTAAAATCTAGTTGAGAGATAGTATGCGTACAACGTAAAAATTGTAAATGTCACAGAACTGATCCTATGTGAAATTGACTATAATGAATATTACTTTGTATTATTACCATGACAAAGTTATTTTTGTGAAATTACTCCACTAGTTTGTTATAATTACTCATACAAAGATCGAAGACAAAGAAAAATTCCTTCGATCTGACAGGATTCGAATCAGCGTCTGTGCGACTGCTCTAATAACTGAGCTACAGATCGAGTCAGCGCCTTACGAACTTTTCTATGCGTTTGTTACAGATGTTCGTTTTTGGTTATAGCGGATTTTTCAATCTATAAAATATAGTTACTTTAGTTTGTGCAGTTAGCATGTCAATGGCGGTCATCAACCCGATTTTCATCCCGAAGTCACCTTTCTGCCATTTTGAATTACTGAATTCCGGTGTTGAAGGGTACGGATAATGGTGAAATTACAGGCACATGGGACTTGTCAACTTATGTCTCAGGGTGACGGGCAAGTGGAAGTGCCCTCAGATCTTTGCGCTTTAAAGTTCTGAGTGGCACTGCAAGTGTTATGGACAGGCGTGTAGCTTACCATCAGGCGCACGACTTGTTTGTCAAGTCAATTGATATTATATTTAAAAAAATACCATGTCAGAGTACGCTTGCGTTCGGTACGATCGGAAATTTCATGTTTAAATTTTGGTGTGGTTTAATTTATTAATTTTGGTATTTATTTGTTGTATTTGTTATATATATAACAGAAATAAAAGTCAGAAATAATATAACTTTTAGATTTGGCGATTTGGAACTTCTTCTGAAAGTGACGATTCTACAATATGTATACTGTTTTTTTTTTGTATATTCTTAAAAAAAATTAAGGAAAAGTTCTATCAAAGTATTTAAAAGTTTACAATCCTCGAGGTAGTCTGTACGTCGAAGAGACTATTATCACGACATGCAAGCGATAATACTTTCTCACGTTACTTGGGAACATTAGAGTATCGTTTTCACAGGTAAATTTACAGTGGTAGGAAGAGGTGAATGATTTCTATTGACATGCTAAATGGCACTTAGTATAAATACTTATTGTAACAATAACAAACAAACAATGTGGAGAAATCGTACATCATCAAACATATTGAAAATCCACAACCCAAAAAAGGTATTTTAGAGAAGACAGACAGCTCTACAGCCAGGTTTTTATAGCTATTGAAAAGATGTTATTTCTTACCAGGAACGGCAGCGGGTACAGTCCTGAGCAGAGCGGTGACAGTGGCACGGCCAATGTCCAGTGGAGTGTAGGTCTTCTTGCAGCTCTGACCGGCGGTGACCTAAAACAAATCATTTATTTGGAAATACAATGGAAGAAGACCATTTTGATAGACCGACAACAAGACAACATTCATTTTTCTAAAATATGCTACATCTAGAAAACGGTACCTCCAATGAACATTACGCCGACTTCATTATTGGACATGTTCTGTTTTTATTTTGTTTTTTTTTCACAAAATTAGTTTTATTTCTAATTTTGTTTTGTTTTTTTTTCACAAAAATAGAGGAGCATAAAATTAGTAAAGAAATATGGCTGTTTACGAAAATAACAGAACAAAAAATAAAATTGGCGTAGTGTACACATTCAACATAGCCCCGCACTAGAAAGATTCTATGTCGCGGGTGACATGGACACACAGAGACAACGAGAATTCTCACGAGAGAAATAAATGTAGGCCATACAAATATTTCTCCCGGCCCGGGTATCGAATCTAGGACTCTGCGTAACGTAACCGTTCGGCCATAGAAGCAGTTAAGGTAATTGAGATTTCATTCACCCATTATTATATTATGTTACAGCAATATTTCTTTCCTTTTGACTTTGGACTTCTCACTCACCATGTTGGGCTTCAGGAGAGTTCCCTCGAGGTAGACGTGGTGGTCGCTGAGCGCCTTGTACACGGCAGCGAGGACCACTTCGGTTACCTTCTGCGCGCGGTCCAAGTCGTGCTCACCTGAAAATATCAAATATTTCCATTATATTTAAGGGTCTGCAAGTGCACATTAATGGCCTTTTCGGCCTTAGAAGAGCTCGTCCGGGGAAGTGCCTATTTCTGCCGCCAAGTAATACGAGCATTACTACGTTCCAGTTTAGAAGGGTGAAGCTGCTGGTGAAATTACAGCTACATGGGATTGGTGTCTGTGTGTGAACTTTATGTCTGTTACCGGTAGGTCGTGTACCACAAAAAGTCGAATATAGCTGTCCGAAAATGTCGCCATCGGGATTAAAGACTGACCTTGAAGTATTAAAAATCTTCATCGAAGCTACAATACGTCCGTAAGACATGTTCCAGAGGAGCAGATATATTTCGTAGGAATAAATTGTACCAGGCGATCAGAAAACAGCAGAGAACTCACCATCGGGCAAGACCTCAGGCTCTACAATAGGCACTATGCGCTGGCTCTGGCAGATAGAAGCATAACGAGCGAGCACATTAGCATTCTCCATAATAGCTTGGTAGGACGGGGTGAAGCGGCCGATCTTGAGCACGCAACGCCACTTGGCGAAGTGGCAACCGTCCTTCTTATATTGGGCGCAACGCTGAGCCAAATCATCAAGACCTGGAATAAACGAAATGGTATTTTAGTTGATGTATAAAAGTGGACAATAGAGGTGGAACGACCTTTTGTACATTACATACGGCCATCTGCCCAAGGTCTATTCAGCCGTCGCTACTCCCCTGACGTTCAAGTTAATCGTTAGCGACATAAACATACACTATCGATTCGTCGTTTCGATCAGTCTGAAACGACGTATCGTTAAGACAAATCGTTCCATATATGGGAGCCTTTAGTATCAGGAATCAAGACATGGTGACATTGGACAGAGGTTATATTCATTGGTAATTTTGTTTTTAAATACGAGTTCTTTTCTGATTCCGATTTGGCAGGTTATACAAGAATAAATGTGGCTTATACCGTTTAAATAATAAGTTTCAACCATTATTTTAACCAATGGTAGAACATCGCGAATGCCCGTACATATAATAAAATGTTATTGAACATTAAATTGCTGAAGTCTCCTTGAACCAAGACTGGTTTCGATTGTATTAATACCGTCTCTCAATTGAGCAGTTTATTCTCTACGTTAAAGTCCAGATGAAATAAAATCATCTCTTAAAAAAGCAAACCTTTTGAGGAAGTTTATGGGCTTTGAAGGGCGTAGAACTTTTGGGACGTCTGAAGTTCACAGTTACATCACTTCTAATGAGTGTCATAGTTAGGGAAAAAGATCTAGTAGATTAATAGCCAAGTTTCTCTAATCTTGCAGCATGTAATAATTAATACCTCTTCGATAACTGGTCATCAAAAATATTTACATTGAGTAAGAACGCCGTCACACTTGTCAGGTGTATTTTTTCAACTTCAAACAAAACATGATTGTTATAGGGTTTGTCTTTGTTTATTATTTTGTTAATAAACTTTAATTGCTGGTGAGTTATTTAAACGCTCCCTGTCCCTCAATTTTACTATGCATTTTTTTCCAAAGTGATTCATTCATTCACTTTCATTGTTATGCGGAACCAATCAATGCCATTTGAGGTAGTATAGACTCTGAGATCTTAACTTAAACCTTATAAATCTTAACGTAAACGCGGTAGTTAAGTTTGAACGATTACAAATTTACACTCAGGTCTCTGAGCAAAGCAATTAATTCTGGGTACATAACTCAGAACATCTAGTAGCTCTAGAAGCTCCTTGGGAGTTCGTCCAGGAAAGAATTCACTCCTTATCTATTTCTGCCGCCAAGCAGTAATGTGAGCATTGTTGCGTTTCGGTTTTGAGGGATAAGGATGATGGTGAAATTACAGGCACATGGGGCTTGTCAACTTATGTCCCAGGGTGGAGCCGCCAAAGCCAAAGTAGTGACGATCAGGAGCTCGACGACTCGTAAAATCAAAGACGATTTTAGTTAACTGTGTTATATTTAAATAGGTGACTGGTTAGTTACAGGAGTAGTGCCGTTAAATCGATACAGTGATAGTTTCTGAAGGGGTACAGTTTAAAAAGTGAACGGTCCTTTTGACCTTTTTAGTTACGCACAAAATTCGTTACAAATGTAGTAGGGATGAAAAAGACATATGTGGTACTCGATTGGTTCAAAATAGGCCCACGTAATGTGCCCTTGACGAGCAGCGTTTTGTTACTGCTTTGGAAATTATATTAAAATTACAAAATTTGTTGCGTTCGCAACACAGGGTGATGAACGCAGTGGCAGTGCCCCTCAAATCTTTGTGATTTTTTAATCCGTAAATGGGAGCCTTTAGGAATAGGAATCAAGACTTATTATGCTTCAAGACTTATTATGTATTATGCTTTGATTAGGAACTCTTCACGTCACTTGGTACTCTAAAAAAAATGTTTAAATATTCCGTTTCACCCAATACCGCTCAAGTTAGATAGGCAATAAAGCATTAAATTAAATATAATATTATACAACGTCACATACGTAGCGCCGATCCCAAACTAAGTATTTAAACAAATCGGAAACAACGACGGTATCTCAAACACTCAGACTCGAGGCAATATAGAAAAGTTGGTTTTTCTCTGCCGGGAATCGAACCCGGGACCTCAGAGATGGCGACATCATGAAAACCGGTGGGCAAGCCACTCAACCACGGAGGTCGTCCAAATTGGAACAAGATATAGCGTAAGAAACTAAAATGCCAAACAATGGAATATTTTTATCACATAAATTTTATCACAAACGTGTTTATAGACTTTGACATTTATTTATCGAGTTTGATAGTGGCGAGCCCCCTATTCGGGTAAACATGTCGTCAGCATTGGACCCAGTTGGAGATAAGTTATGATATAAATTCGTTTCGTATCGTTTTACTCCATGTCATGACCACGCCTCGAAATATAATGTCCAGCTGCATTTTAGCACCGTTAACTGATCTCATATGTCTTGGATGTTAGTTCGTCTTAGGATTTTGGAATTTGGAACACCATCCATAAGCATAGTATAAATAAACTTATAAACGTACTATACATCCCACTGCTGAGTATGGGTCTTCTCTAAGGAGATGGTTTAGGCCACGCTAGCTCAACGCGGGTTGAGGACTTTCTTAGATTTTAACACGAACCACCCAAATCTGTCCTTTCCTTTGGTGGATAAGGCTTATTAACCGTCATAACTACGAAAATAGGTTGCATTTAACAGCAATATTATAATTTCACAAGTTTTATACCGCCTTCCGAATTGCTAGAGGTAGTTTAAACATATGTCTTTCCTGCTTCAGTACACGACGCGTAACGGCGTTTGCGGACGTAGTGAGCAAATGCTTCTAAGTCATGTTATCTCTTTCTCACATATTCAAATTTAATACGTACGAAAGAGACAAAATATGAGCAGATGTGCTGTCAAAGCAGCGAGTCCTTGTCCTATGTCAATAATTACGGAACTTCGGAGGCATGCATATGTCAAAAGTGAAAAAAATGGTTGGACGGAGTATAATACGTATGTGAAGAACTGGTTGTAAACGCAGTTGCACTGAAGGGCATCTTGATAAGGCCTTCCCTGAATATTTGCATAATCGAAATGTTGATAGCGCAAATCGATATGAATATTATTCATACAAATAATACGATTTGGCTTAATGGTTAGCTAACGTATACGAGTACGTCCCGGATTCGATTGCCGGAAGGACCAATCTGAGCAAAAGAAAAAAATATATATTTTGAAAAAACCGACGAACAGACCTGATGCTTTTAACAAGCAATTCAATTCAAACAAAGCATAAAAATTTAAGATATCGAATTCAAACACCTGATACAAATATCCAGGAACTAATTAAATATAGGCCCTGGTTTGGTACCGTCGCGGGTTTGAGTTGTCAGGTCAAAAAATACAAACATATCTCGAAATTTTCATTCAATTGGTATTTTACAATATTTTTAATGATGTGACATTAGTGTTAATGATGTTTTTTATATCGAATGAACTAAATACAACACGATATACATACATACTATACGATACACATTTTACAAATAGCTTTAATTTCATTTGTAAAAAAAATTAATTTTGAAATAAAGCCAGTGTCCCTGCCGGCCGTCCCAAGCAAAAATGAACCGTATTAGTACGGGAAATATTTTAATTCGAACTGAGGTAGTATAGACTCTTAACGCAAACGTTAATTAAATTTTATTGAATTGATAATCAATTATTTTTTGTGATATTACTCCAACAGTTTGTTAAAATAATTAATATAATGATTGACAACTTTGACAACAAATTGAACAAATTGTCTTGAGGCCAACCTCAAAATTTGTTTAAAAAAAAATTACGATTGGCCATCTCTTCCGAGGTGTCCGGGTGTGATGACCATAAGACTATGGGTAAGTTGGCCAGTAATTATTTCTAGTTCTGTCTTTTACTTGGTGTTTTGTTTTTTTAAGTCTACTTTTTTCTTCATGTCGTCAAATTCTCAGTTTTCTTGAACCCAAAAGTGGCACACGACGCTTTGGAGCAGTCTTAATAGCTCTTAGGTTTTCGCGATTGTTACAATTATGAAATGAAACTACTTTTTTCATCGGATTCACATCGCGTATATTTGTTTTTTAAACAAACCAAAGTGTCGGGCCCTTTACAAGTATTGGGACATTTCCTAAGCATTAATAGCTGCTTTTAATGATTCTTCAGTGCAAGTCTCTCTCATTGCAGCTACCTTTCTAATATAAAAAATTAAAATAAATAAATTATTTTATTAATATTTTAGACCTTTGGTCACATGGCCATCTTACGCAGATTTTGATTGGCCATCTGTCCCAATATTCCGGGAGAGGTGGCCACACATAAAATTTAAACAAGAAAAAACATGACACGTAAAATTTTGAGTTTATAACAAAGAATTGGATGTGGACTAAGCGGTAAATACAAAAATAATCCATATTTTGACAAAATAACTTCATTATAGTGTAAAACATGAACCCTCCAAAAATTTTAGCATTACTCAAAACAATTAACTTTATTTTCTCAGCATATTCGAAGTACACTTGCACTTAGACACGATACGATGCAACCTGAGCAATAACTATCGCCATCTCGTTAGCGGATCATTGAAATATTGCGATTGGCCATCTGCCCCTTACGGCCATTTAACCCGGTTTTACCCTAATTGGTGTGGTCGTTTGGCATTTTATTATTATTATATCTTATCATGTGACGTACTTACTATCTATAACATCAATTTTGATGGCAGAGATGTTTATCTCTAATTGAATGTTTTTTTATTATATTGTGACTGAAATTGATAATGGTAATTTTCATTCACAAAATACGCAGTAGGTATTTTGAATAAATGTATCGAAATCATTGAACAAAATCATGTTTTTTAGTTATATTTACATCGGGAATTGAACCTAAGACCTGCTAACCGTTCCGGGTTAGTTAACTGTTAACATGACGGGATTGTTTCTTGGAGTAAGTCGAGAAGTTAGGTAACTCGTCACGTATTAATATCACGTGTTTAGTCCAATCGTACCGGGAGTTTCACATGAGAGCATGGCGTGAACCGGTTTGGCAAATAGCCGGACATACCAAGCCTTTTATATTTCTTGCTCTGGAGGCGATATTCAAGCAAAAGCTTGATATGCTGTTGACTGTACACAAGTCTAATCAAATTTTGAAAAAGGACTATCTATTAAATTTAATGCAATTTAGAAAACCTCTTCAAACATTTTTAAGTTTAGAAAAATTCCTTCGATTCGGCCGGATTTGAACCAACATCTCCTAGCAAACCGTGTCAGATGCTATGCCAACTTAGCCACGGAACTAACCAGCGGACCTCACGAATTTTTCTATGTGCATGTCGTCGGATTTTTACGTTTGGTTTTTAACGTACTTTTTGCCGTAGCGCCATCTGTGAGAAATCTTTCAAAGTATTTCTTTACCCAGTTAGGTACCTTTACAGCTACCAGCAGCTGGAGATATGTCATTTTAATGAAATCTTAAATCTTTTTTTTAAACAACCACATCAATTACTTGGTCTCATCCTAGCTCCTGTAGGGCTAGCAACGTCATGCGTGACAAGCGCGAGAGCGACAAAAGCGCGACATATTGCTATTCTCGCATAGAGGGTACTACCTAGAGCATCCCGACCAGAACTCTACATCTAAAGAGTGTTGTTCAACTTGCACCGGTCATATATAATAAAATTCCAGATCCAAACTGACCTGACCTTGGCGATGGGCAATACCGTGTCTTGCAGAACGTGTTGGGTGAGCATTGGCATTGGTCGGTAAATCTTTAGACAATCGCCGGACCGAAAGTTATACGGCAAACTTACCCTGGGTGGTGCACTCATCTTCAGATCCGAAAAGCGGCACGACGCCCTTGTCGACTTTGATGCCGGGGATGATGCCTCGCTTCTCCAACAGAGAGACTAGAGGTGAACCGTCGTCCGTCTTCTGGTACAGAGTCTCGTGGAACAAAATCACCCCGGAGATGTTCTCGGATAAGCTCTGAGAATAAAGGAGTTAGTTAGTTGGGGGACAGTCCAGTTGGTGATAAATCCAGAAAACCAAGAGATGAATGGATTACAAAAAAAAATTTTTAGTACCTTATTTTTGCAAAGGTGTCAAGAGTAGTGCAGGAAAAGAAAAGCTTATTAAGCACAATAGAGAACCGAAGGGGAAAGATGTTTAGGCGTCTGATATGTCACTACAACTTTATCAGAAGCAGCATAAGAGGGAAGATCGCAGAAAAGAGAGGCAGAGGATAAGGGAAAAAGTTAATATCGTGTCGTATCAGGAAATCAAAGTTAGAGCGCTAAACAGAAATGGTTGGAGATTACTCCACTGACAAAGAGTAACAAGTTTTTTGTTACCACTGGGAAAGAGTAAAAATATTTGTGTGTATAAAAACCTTGTTACTCTTTGTCAGTGGAGTAATCTCCAACCATTTGTCTCATTCCCTAGCGTTTATCGAAAGAAGTTCGATATAGCCTTGGTGGAAACAGAAATTACTTGACTTGTATTATATATAGAACGAACGAACGAGTATACGACTCGTCCAGCAAGTGCTTACTTCCAGGACCTTAACAATAATGTACTATTTATAATACTTAATCACAATTATGAGTACTGTTTGTCAGTGGAGTAATATCCAATCATTTGTGTCGTTGCCTAGCATTTATTGAAAAAAGTTCTTTGTAAACCTTGATGGAAACAGAAATAATTATAGAATTATATATAGAACGTATACTCGTCTAGCAATTGCTTACTTCCAAGACCTTGTCAATAATGTACGTACTATTTCTTATTCACAATTACTACGTAAGTGAGCACCATCCATGGTTCGAAATGTTAATTTTCTTTCACATGGTGCCACAGTGCTCTGCTCTTACGCATGCGTCAGAGCAATCAATGAAATGTCGCTTGCATTTCGAAGCGCACGAAGTCACGTTTAATTAAATGGCCAGTTTCGAAGAAAATACCTGTTTATTAACGACATTATAAAACAAGAAAGCATTGCAAGAAGGCAGTGACACATAAATGCTTATAATAAGAACAAAATCGATCTGCTTGCTAGGTTCACCAAACTTCACGTCCTGTTTTGTAATTAGATGTTTTGGTGTTTTCCAGTCCACAACACCGAATGGAACAGCCCCCATTGTTAGAGATATTATTATCTTTATTACTATAAATATAGAATATTTTTGGAATATATGGAGACGTAGACAGAGGTCAGTTGTTGGCGCTGTACTATTTCAGTATTCTAATTTGTGATTCAAGCGCAAGCGAGAGTTGATATTTAAAAGTGATAATAAGGCCCGTTTGCCTGATGAGTCGCCAGGGATGAATGGCCCTTACTTTGTCTCTATTTCTGGTGGAGTATAATATATACTCGAGTGACAAAAAGGCAACCTTTTTCCTAACTAGCTATCACTGGTAAATAGATGTCGCTTACTTACCGGGTCGGAGCTGAATAGGAGTTGACGGTACTTGCGACGGTTCTCCTCGGTGTTCTCGACTCCGATGTCCTGGAGACGCTTGCCCATGGTCCCTAAACAAACATACCAAATATTCTTTAAGATACATAGGTTAATTATACAAGTTCTGTTAAAAGGCCTTGACAAGTTCCGAGAGAATGTTGATTAAGATATAAATAACTTTTCTGTAAAATTTCTTGTTATACGTAATGGATTTTTGTGGATAGGGAATTGAAGTACAGTCAACAGCACATCAAGCTATAGTGCAACGAAACAAGATCCGTCAACGTGTAGATTGATATTCTGCCGTCTCATCTACAATATTATTTAAAATATAGACATATTTATTGTCATGTATGGTATTAAAAGGAGCCGATGGATTAAATTCAGATTAGCCTTATCAAGTTGCGTTTGATAGAGTTTTTAAGGTACAAGGGTAATAGGTACGTAACGTAGCAAAAGATAACTAAGTAGGTACGAAAGAAAATGACACATGACGTTATCAAGTTAATGAGTTGGACACGTCTAACGTCCGGTTAAGCACAGACTTAACTGCACAAAGTTGTCAAAATAATTTGAATAATGTCAGACCATTTAAAAAGTTTTAATTTATACGGGAAAAGCCGACCCTTGTTCGGTATACGGCATATTCTGGAATCGACAGATTTGGGGATTGGGCAGATACTTGGACTCGACAAAGAAGCTACACGGCAGAAAAACTACAGTCGTGCACAAAATATCTCAACATGTCCTTATTACACTGGCGATTTGCGAACGATGCGACAGCGCGGCGTGAATACCGCGAGCACGCAGCTACAACACTTTCCATCAGGTCAGATGGAATTAGTGGGTCAAATGCCTGTTTTTGCATAAAACAAAAAGATAACGTTACGGCGGCTTGACGATGAATTTGTCCTATACTGAATGAGTTGTCTACACAGGCGTGATGATGTTATGTAACAGACACATTCTTTCATATTTCCATGAGGGCGCAACGCCTCTTAAAGTACTACTACTTGTGTGTACTACTACTAGTACAGTAGTAAAAAACAAAAACAAAACTTTGTTTTAGTACTCTGTACTGTTTTGTTATTTGTTATACCAAGTGACGAGACGAACAAGTCGTACGCCTGATGATAAGCGACACGCCTATCCATAACAGTTGCAGTGCACTGCTACTGCGCCCGTCACTCTGAGTCATTACTTGACAAGTCCCACGTGCCTGTAATTTCATCAGCACGCTTACCCTTTCAAACCGAAACGCAGCAATGCTCACGTAGTGCAGCAATGCTGTTTGGCGGCAGAAATACGAGTAGTAAGGTGGCACTACTTCCACTTCCACACGGAGCTCCACTGCTTCTAGCTTATACTAAGTCAAAGTTTGGCAAAACTTGCTTAGCTCGCCATTTTAGCTTAGTCTATGTCAAAGTTAGTTTTATAAACGACAGCCTCTGTGTTTAGGCACTGTCCAAAGTCATTAGCAATGGTCGGAAAATGTTGCTCCACATATATAGACATAGCTACAAGGAGCTACATAGAGTGTTAAATCCACCAATTAACGAATTGCTTTTTCGAATTCCGGATTTCAGGAAATGGTTTCGCTACGTTATAAGACAAAACGATTGACTTAGGAAATCGAAGTTGGATTTTAAAGTAATTCAAATGGTGCCATGTAAAAAAATGCAGTAAATAACTGACCTTTTACCAAAGCAGAGAATACAAAAGTAACGAGAATGGTCCTAGTTCTAGATACCACACCGCAGCTAAGTCTATACAGGTATCTACATATTATGTTGTCATGTGAAGAAACGAAATAAGTAAAATCATAGGAAATGAAACTATTTTTCCGGATTTAAATCGCGTATATTTGTTTTTTCAAACAAACTTCATTGAATGTGTAGGTTTATCCATGACATGCTCGCAAACCTACACATTCAATGAAGTTTGACAAACCCCAGGTCCTTGCAAAAGAAGTCCGTTATCTACCCAGGATGCTGCGAGAGGCCATTGAAATTAAAAAACATCCTAATTTCAACAGGGAAGATGGTTTCTCCGTACCACCAGTTTGGGATCCAGTATTTCCTCTAATGAAAAATCCCAAACAGACATAAGACTGCAGTACTAATTAATATGTTTTAGTTTATTCTAATTTCTATTAATAATTAATAATAAATTAAACTTAATAAAAATTCATTCAATAAAATAATTTGTAAAACTTAATGTTGCGTAAATTGGAATGTTTTCTTTGTAAAATTAAAAATAAGGTATTTAATTAATAACTATTGTAACTATAGTGAAAAAATAGGGTGGTTTGCATTAATATTAGACATAACTGGTTGAAGACTGTACCACCTCAGTCAACCGTGACCATGGGACCTGTAAAGGGCCCGAAACGTCGGTTTGTTTGAAAAAACAAATATACGCGATTTAAATCCGGAAAAATAGTTTCATTTCCTATGTGTAACAATCGCGAAAACCTAAGAACTCGATAAGCAAAATCATTTATATATACTGTACTCTAGCCAAATTCGATGTAGAATAAATGTCAACAAACAAAAACATATGATTTTTAGGGTTTTCATCAATATTTTTCAATATTTTCCTATGAAATTCAACTAGATTATGGATAACACTAAATGTTGAAGCCATGTTTATAACGAATATTACTCAACAGAAGTTTCAAATCACCTAAAAGTGACCAGTAATTAAATATTTGTAAAACTGTGTCATCCCTAGTGACTTTTTGATTTGAAGGGAGAGATTGCAAACGTTCGAGTTCTGGTGGTAATTCAAGTTCAGAATCGGAAACAGATGCTGGATTATATAATAATATAATAAATTAATATCAAATAAAACCTTACAATTTTGTTTCTTTTCATCTACCATTACCTACCATCTAGCTAATATAATAAATATGAATAGGATGCAAAAAACAAAAAAAACTTTTTTATTCTAAATCATATGTATCAATAGATATTTTGTAAACTTTATAATAATTGGCGAAGTAATTATTACTTCTATATAACCCAATTACCTACTTACCTATTTAAATTCCAATTAATGGAGCAGGCCGTGGGCAGATCAAGCCTTTATAATGACTATGACAATTGAAAAAAAAAATTCGTTTTCTATGCCATCATTACTTGCCTTGTTTCGTTATTAAATTTCGAATTTGGCCAGAGTATAAATTGGATTATATGCTTATTTATCAGTAAATAATTTAAAGTAGATAACTCACCTACGGATTCATCGGCGGCGAGGATGCCTTTTCCGGGAGCCACAATGGCGTTCGCAATCTTGCGCAACTCCTCTTGCAGCTCGGGAGTGGGGTATTGGAAGTAAGTGCTCATGGTGGCTGTAGGCAAACATTTTTTTTCATTAATTTTCATAAAACGGTTGACACAAATTGGGCGAACAAACAGAACTGAAATATACAGGGTTATTTGTAAAATATTAACAACCTCTCAGGACCATAACATCATAAACAACAACTTTTATTCCATGACTTTCAATCATTATAATTTCATTACTTACATTATTTGCTTTACATTTTACACTTTTACTTGATACATATAGTACTGCTATTACAATAGTGTCGTAAATCAAAAATACGTGAAATTTAAGATTATACCATTGCTAAACGTAAAATTTGATTCTCTGCACGTTAATAAAACCGTCATTAGAATATTGTAAGAAATAATTAAAACTTAACTCTAAATGAGATAAACTTTATGTGAGCTAGTTCTGGGTAAAACAGTCCTTACTCAAAAATATGAAATTATTTTATACCTTTTATTTTCAAATATACTTGGAAAGTATGAAATTGTTTAGATGTTTGTAATAAACTTTATTTTATACATAAATTTTAATAATCTTGCCTTGGAAGTGAATAATCATTTTTCACCGATTCTGAATAAATACACTTTTTGAGTTAATGCACTATAGTATCGACAATGTGATATGTATACATATAGTTTTAGAGTTAGGTATATGTATTTGCGTGTGATGCACTTTGGTGGCATGGGTACTGGGCTGCTATCGCTCATCTTATGCTACTGGTAGAAAATCAGCACAGTTTGACTTCTCTCGGTCTGCAGTATTTATGCTGAATCAGGGCAGATTTCAGCACAAACTGTAGTCATAGGTACATCAAACTTTAGTTTTAGTTTTCACAGTATTTGTTTGTTTTCCTCACAGTATTTGTTCTTCTCGTAGTCCCTGTTTTATATATCGCACTGCTACTACAATAGTGTTGTAACTCAAAATATGTGAAATTTAATATTATATCATTAATGAACGTAAAACTTGATTCTGTACTGGTAAAAAAAAACCTTTGTTAGAATATTGTAATAAACAATCAAAAGATATCTACTTAACTCAAAAGGAGACGCACTTTATGTGTTTATGTGTTATATGTTATGTGTAAGTTCTAGCCAAAATAATCCTTATTCAAAAAAATTACATCATTTTTTCCATTTTATTTTTAAATATATTTGAGAAATTGTTTAAGTCTAATAATAAACCATAACATATAAATTTTAATGATTTTTTTGCGGGAAGTGAGTAATTAGTTTTTCATCGATTCTGAGAAAGTCCTCTTTTTGAGTTAATACACTATTTTTATTAACAGTGCGATATGTAAATGTGTATTAAATTAATATATATGTTCTATGTGCTTTTATTTTATACTTTGTGATGTTTGTAAATGTTTTGTTTCTGTTTGCATTTGTGCTGAATAAACGTGTTATCTATCTATCTAATTCATCGCAAATGACTATCATAAATAAATAAAAATATTAAAATAGAAAACACTAAACGGCGATAGCTCTATGTAAAACGATGGAGTGCGGGTGGGGCTCGTCGGGGAGGACGTTTGAACTTACTGCCTCAGTACCAGATACAGTTCCGAAAGGTGTCAGATACAACAACAAAAATTTTCAAATAGTACGAAAAAAATTTAAGCTCATTTTTGCAAAATTTATTGTTTTGTAAAAACTCATGGAACAAAAGAGTTATTGTTTATGATGTTAGTAATATGGTCCTGTGAGGTCGTTAGTATTTGAAAAATAACCTTGTGCAAATAAAAATTACAACTTATATATTATTATATTATACTATATGTACAATGAAAGAGATTCGGTATGAATTTTTTTATAGAAAATCAAATTGCAGCTACAAATCTTTTCATGTTTACATATTTTTTTTTTACCTTTTTATAAAAAATTCAGTTTTATTACATATTTTATATTTTTATGGCTTTTTTCCATACAAAAGTATTGTGTAAATTGTTCAATAAACTGTAATATTACATTTTGAATGGTCTCGCTTAGTCTACACAAGATCAAATAGGGTTATAATAATATTGCACTAATGTGTAATTTATTGTGCTACATAAATAAAAATAAAGAATAACAGTCTTGCTTCAATGCTCCTATACAGTGTCAATTCGTTTAAAGAAGCACTAAATATCCTCACGAGGCATCTGGCTGCAAACCAATGGTCTTAATTACTTGAATGGTCCAATTAACACCTACAACGCTAGACACTGTACAGAGAATCTGGCACTGGGCTGGAATGCCATCAAAATACGGACCAGGAAATAAATTAGCATTTGTCTACAACGAGTTGGAGATGAGATGAGATGTTATTAGTATCCTTCTAGTTAAATGAAAAAAATCTCAACCTTAAGACAGAGCATATACTTTAGATTCTAATATTAAGCGGACGAGACTAATCTGCATCCTCTTCAGCCAATCATGACCTATAATGGGCACATGACACTGGGCAAGCACATGCTCCAATGAGAGCTGTCTAAAACACTCGAGGCGAGGAAAATCTTCAAAAATTTGGTTGCAATTAATACTGTTTATAAATCATAATATTATGTTGCAGAGGCTCTCAGTGGAGTAACCCCAATAATATCAAAAAGTACTTAAAATTATCAAGAAAAAATAAACATTCATTGAGATAACAAAGGAAGACAATTACTGTACATAATTACTTAATTGCACCAATCTTACTTGTATACGGATGTTTAACAATCCATTGTAAATAAAACTTGATACTTTTGTAGATAGACAAGATTTCATGGAATACCTTTAGTTAACATGCAAACTAAACTGAATAAATACTATGATGGCGACCATTTCAACCCTCGCTCAGGACAAGCTCGCTAAAGGACAATTTGATTTTGACAGATTTGTGATTCGGCACATTCGCTACTCAACAGACTCGTGATTTGGACAGATTCTTGGATTGAATACATTAGCTAAGCATTTCGGATCCATTATGTCATTTAATCTGCAGAGTTCCTTTTTCATATTATGCAAACAGCTTAATCTAATTTTTTTGTTTTAAATTTTTTTTATGTACATTCTTATGTAGTGGCATTGCAACCACATTTTCTATTCTATTTTAAACAGGGGCTCTATATCGTCATTGCATCTAAGGAGATACTATATATATATCATTTGATCTCCAGAGGTCTTATTTCTCAATCTGCAGAAGTCCCATTTCTTCAAATAACTGCAAAGGTCCGTCCTATTTTATCATTAAATTTGACCTTATAATACTTGTTGTTGTATTTTATCTGTTACATTTCGTCAAATTAGTTACAGAACACAAAGTTCTAAATAAATTATCTTAACAACTTCCCGGTACACATATACAACAAGTTAAAATTTATTAAACTGGATATTACAATACTAATTACATTATCATTATATTTTAAAGACTCTGTTTTGTTAATCACAAATGAAAAAAGAAAGGAGTTATAAGTTTGACATCTCTGTCTGTGATATTGTAGCTCCCAACCAGTTTTTATTACAAGGCTAATTTAACTATATGTATTTGATGAACATTTATTTCAAAATTATTAGTTCTTTTTTCCCAGTTATAGTGATTTCAGTCACAAAATGAATATTTATTACATTTTCATGATGAACTTGAAATTTGGTATACTATACAAGTCCGATGATACTGTAATATTTGGTAATTCAAAATCAAATCATCCTTCATTTCATAGGTAAGCAAATTACACCAGAAATTGAACCCATTATACTAAGTATCATGGCACCAAACTGCAAATGGGGCACGTGAGTTACCCTTTAAGGTGGAAGCTATGTCCGGACATTGTCACAGGACACTGCGACTGGTATCTCCGGCACTAGCCCTAGAGAGCTATAGGCGTGGTAGGCCCAGAGAGCTAGCATTGATTATTGAAAACTCGAGAGACGTCGTTTTTCGGCGTGTCTTACAGCTCCGCCACCAATGAGATCTGGTAGCGGACTTAAAGTTGACGGCTTAGCAATGGCAATCACTAGATGTGCAATGCGCAATGGGAAGTGAGCATGCCTACATATATACTATGCCTAGTTCCCGTACATATCTGGAAAATAGGGAGGGTACTGGTTCACCCGAGGCGCAGCCTCTCGAGAACAGGATAAAGTCAAGTAACAGAGGTCTGTGACAACCCTGTACGCTGGCTGATCTGGGGTCAGAACCTGCACTCATGCACTCATAAGGTTCCTGTGCACGTGCAGGTTATATAGCCCTTCCCGTATACCCTAAGGGTTGGTAGGGAGGGTAACTATAATCAAAACTAATGTAGAAAAATATGAGGCTGTACCAAACTCTACTGCCTACAAATTCCCCTCAGAAGAATGAGCAAGAAATTCCTGGAGTCCCTCTTTTTAAATATACATTTATTAAATATTTACAATATTTCAAACATCTTAGATCAAGACTACATGCAACAGTTAAATGATACACTACCATGTACTTTTGTCATCCAAGTATGCAGGAGCTGTACCTTTAACACTTTACCTTTGTGTACCTTTAATACAAAGTTTTTGTTCCATTATAATTTTAAATTTGGTAAAACACTATGTTTTGAATATGTCCCAGATTCTTATTACAGAAGTGTATAACATCGATCTTAAAAATGAATTTGTCACTTTGTGAAAATGACTGACAAGAACAGCAACTTTTATTCCTCATATTTACTGTTACTATTTTGTCATAAAAAAAGCTATTATTTTCATAACAAATGTTTATCGGATACTAATAAGACTGTGTGTGTAAACTACGTAAGGGTTTCAATTCTTGTACATTCTAAATATAAAACCGAGAATACTACATACCCTTTGTGACAAACCCGGGCCACCATCCTGATTCTGGAGGTCCCTTCTTCTTCTTTCCCTTTTTCTTTGCCCCCATTTTGATATATTATTTTGTTTAATTGTATACAAAAAGGTATTATAAAATGTTACACTTAAAAATTAGAAGGAAAATCTTACACTCGACATTTTATTTTATTTTTTTGTAAAAATCTCGTCTATCAAAAGTAAACTCACCAAATAAATAAACCCCTTGTCAGCTGTTTTCTTTTTATTTTTGAAAAATATTCGAATTTCGAATCTCCGAATCCAACACTTTCACTTTGACGTTTCGCACTTTGATTGACAGTTTAGTGACGTATGACACATGTACCGATTATTTTACATCAAGAATCGATAAATTATAATTAGTGTACCGATGATGAGTGATACCGTTCACTCACTACTGATTTTGTGGCATTTGACAGTACTAAAACCACATAAAAACTGTGACAAATAAGCCTGACAATGTATATTTTAAATATATAATAAAAATTTGTCTTGCTTTACTAAGTAAATTGAAAGTTTTGTTTTCTATAAATTATTTACAGGTTTATTTACAGGCAGGAGATTTAATACAGGTCTAGATGCCAAATTAAGAAATAAGTGATAAACATACGTGGTCCACCACCGAACGCGAACCCTATTTGTTGTGGTTTCTTCTTCCCTTTCTTCTTAGCACCCATTTTGATTTATTTTGTAAGTTTAAAAAGGCATAAAAGTTTCACTTATAAACTAAAAGAAAAATCTTATACTCGACATTTTTTTTGTTATTGTAAAAAATCGTGGTCTATCAAAATAAACTCACCTGAAGAAACTAGTCCCTTGCTCATTTATTTCTTTTATTTTTATGAAAAATTCGAGATTCGAAACTACCAGGGTATCCGTCATCGAGGCGTTTTGTGCAAAGAGAATGTAAATATTTTGATCTAAGCTTTAGGTATGTAGGATGTTGTATTTAATCGATGTCGATAAAATTCTCTAAGAATAAATTCTTAAAATTACTTTATTATAAGAAAAGTACAAATTATTTTAAGACAGCACATATTCGTTTATAAAATAATTTAACTTATTACAGAATCGCTGGTTAATTATTTTGTCTAACCGAAATGTATTGTTGGATAATTAGTAAATAGGTCACAATTCATAACTAAGTGAATTTTATAAATGACTTATCCAATACAATCGCCATTTTCTCATTATGTTCAGTCATCCATCGTATAGTATGTAGTTGGTAAATGTAATTGATACAGTAAAATACAACATTTACTCTAAGATGCATTCCAACTAACTGTTATATAATTGAATGTCATGAATTTTAATTAAATGAAATTGAATTAAAATTAAATTAATGATTTTATTCTTTGGTAACAATTGCTTTTACCTTTTACCTCGGTTTAAATGAATGTTTTGCAAAATTAATTTACTCATCAAGTGATATTGAACATAGAATAGGTAAAAAAAATTTTGATTATTTTTAATCAAGGACAAAACCATAAAGCGGACATCTTCACTTTCGCTAGAAGGTGACCTTGAAAGGTCATTGTAAATGTGGCTTCGCGTGGAATTAATATAACGTGATCAACAAAATTTCATTAAGAACAATCAATTTGGATTAAATTCAACAATTAGAAGAACGCTCCTTAAAAGTAACCTATGAAGTTCAGATTATTGATCGGGTGGTGAGCTTTATTTTTAAAAATATAACTAAAAATGGATATTTAAATACAATATAATAATGCACATAAACTATAAGGAGTTTAAAAATAACTTCTGTTTTTATGAATATGAAGAAGTATTAACATGATGAAACCGTAAACAATTATTCAGAAAAATGTAATAGGCAATTAAGTTATGAAACAGGTAAATATTTAAAATTTATAAAAAAATCTATTTTATCAACCTTACACAATGTGCATACACACAAAATCAATACGATAGTTTTAAATATTCGACATAATCAACAACCTATTGCATAAAGTGTACATAACCTTTTCGAACAAGAAACTAACCTAGTGAATGTATTTTAAGTTTTCTTAACATAGCAAACTTAACATAATGCATATATAGAAAAAAGTGGCCACTTACTTTTTAATTTGGAGAATTACAGAAAAACACTGACACTGCCGAACCGCTAGTTAGTACTGTCAAAAGTAGAGGATAGGACGTATACAAAGGTCATTTGAAGGTCTGCTTTGATGATAACGTGACATTACATACGTAGAAGGCAGCGCTCGAGCTGCCATCTAGTTTTATGCTACTGAAGCTTGGAAGACAGCCACTTGTACGACAACCGGCGCCCGATACGACGTTACTTCATTCGGTATTCTTAGGCTGGTAAATGGTAACAAGTAATAACTACAGATGGCGCAATATACCCTGTATTTATTTTTATTATCATTTTTTGTGAAGTCGACATTTCACATGGCTGTTCGTATTTGCTATTGGGGTGCTTGATGTACCTATGTACTTGAAAAACATGCAGATACTGACAAATATGATCGTTTACACATGGAGCCGAATAAGGAGTTAAAAATAATCAATAAGACCATAGTATTGACAGTTTACTTGCGAATTTGCCTTTTTGCCCCTTTGTTGTGCGTTGAGAAACCGACAAGTGCGCGATAACGCGTTTGCTGTTTATTATTATGTAGAGTCAAACAGGGCAAATTTTTTGTCACACGTTTTATCTATACATGGTGATTGTTTGCTAAGTATATCAAATACTTAAACACAAATTGTCATGTGAAGTGTAGAAGTAACAAAATCTTTCTAGATTTATTTTCGTTACAAATACAAATATCGATAACGTGTTTCAGAAACTAGTACAACCCTGTTTAATTTAGTTATTGACAAATAGGTTTTTTTTATATGACATTTATTTCAAACGAATTGACGAAGAGGTATTTTGTCGAAGAGATTTAAGTTTATTAATTCTATTCCAACCTTACACAATGTTGGCAATGGTTAAATTGGCACGTCATTAGAACGTGCCATTTACCAAAAAGATTTTATTAAAACTTAAAATAATTCCGTTTGATGAAGTGGCAAAAAACAAGTTATATCATGGGTCACCATAATGATACCATTAGGAAACTCGCGTGATTCTTGAACACAAAAGGTTATCAGAATTCACCATACAGCATGATTCATTTAAATACTTAAAATTAAAACGAAATTTTATATAAATGTCTTTGATAACCAGAGTAGGTACCTACTGCACTATCTGCAACTCTCTTTCTGCTGCATATCAATGATATATGTCAATTCCAGGTACCTTTGCGTGTGCTGATGACAGCACGGTTGTAGATAAGTGGAGAGGAAATCCAGTCTTGTCGGTTCATGGTTAGCCGTTTGTATTTGACACCCAAGGTAGTCTCTGATTGGGGCAATGCCAATCTTGGCAAATTTAACTCTACCAAAACGCAGGCGTGTCTATTCTCCACAATACGGAGTCCCTTCGAGCTGACTCCGACTTTTCGTGATATATCCATACCGATAGCCGACTGTCTCCAACTACTTGGAATGGACCTGACGTTCAATTTGAACTTCGGCAGATACATTGAATCCATGGCCAAAAAATGCAGCAAGGAAGCTTGGCATCCTTTCCAGGGTGAGGCGTTATTTTAGGTACACCGGGAACCCCCGAATGGTAGCCGTGGTCGATTTCATCCCACGGTGAAGCTGGAGCCAGACTGGCACGAGGAGGAGGGCGTACCGCGCGGTCTCGTCTTGATCTAGGCCGAGGGGGTCGACACGGACGCATGAGGGGAGGAGGGTCGCGGGGGAAGAGACGTGTCGATGTGTCGTTGCCGCTCGTCGTATCCTCCGCAGCCATTGCAGATCCTGGCGGGGCTGCACCGCTTAGGGTGCAGATACAGTGGCGGTGGGGCCGCGGGGGAAGAGACGTGTCGGTGTGCCGTTGCCGCTCGTCCTGTCCTCCGCGGTCGAATTTGGGCGAATGGCCCGTGCGGTGGGCGCTCCAAAGGACTCTACGGAGAGTCCACGTGGATGCGCGTAGGGTGTTGTGGCGGAGCCTACCGACAGCACCGCCGCGGAGGCTGGGGGAGCATCCTCTCAACTTCACAGTTGAGGGGACGTGGTCCTGGCCCCATGGCCCCTGAGTAGCGGACTCGGGGGAGTTCGCTGCCCAGCATGGAGGGGCCCGAGATGGAAGGCTCGTCTGGTGTTCGGCGAGCCTTACATTTGGAGTCGGGGGACCGTTGTTTCTCCCTTCTCGGGGTGGGGCTGCACTGGGCGCGGCCAGCCGCTTGTGGAGGCGCGGACGAACGATAGCGTACCCGTGCCTCTACCTGCAGCCTAGAGTTCAGAAATGAGATATCCTGCGGGGGCAGAGCCGGGGTGTAAGCAGATACCCTCGGGTAATAAAAAAAAGGTACACCGGGACAGTTGTTTCAAGTGTACCAAGCATATAAGTCCGTTCATGGATGGCTACCTTGGATTCAATTGACAAGCGTGTCAAGAGGCTTACAGGTGACTCGGAATTAGAAGAGGCGAAGCTGCAGAGCCTTGAACACCATATAGTTGCCTGCTTATAAGGGGGCATTCATTATCCTGCATTGCAGTCCGCCTAGCCGTATCCATCCTGCAATCCTGCAATGTGTCCTGCGAAACTCCATACAAGGGCCGTATAGGGGATAGTGTGTGAGCAGTCTCCTGTCTGGCGGCCATTTATTGGTAATCTACAGGTTATATCACGTAGAGTTTGCGATGGAATTACACGATTTAATTCCGTCTTCCCCTTTCCATCACCGGGGACTAGACGTAGGCTTGGGTTCCACCGCTATGTTGATGGATATACCACAGATTCGCACGAAGCGTTACGCTTCCACATTTATTAAGCGATAGGCTGTAATATATTCAAAGCGGGAGTGAATAGGCACTATTCAGGTGTGCGTGCTCCATCGTCGACCTCATCGTCACTTCGTCCATGAAAAAAATGAGTAAGTGTAGAATAGACGAACTGTTTACATTTACATAGTTTTGTCTGTTAA